ATCCTCCTGCCTCAGCCTCCTGAGTGCTGGGATTACAGGCCTGCGCCACCACGCCCGGCTTTAAAGAAGAAGGGAGAGGGGTGAGTCACGGGGGTAGGACAATGGGCGAGGAGAGGGCCAGATCGAGATTATTAAATGGAGAATGAAAGGAGCACAGGAAGCAGGGAGTGAAGACTGCACCGCCAGCCGTGTGTGACCCTTTTATGCAACAGTCATCCCCTTGGGACCTTCAGCGTCGCGCTGTCCCCAGGAGCCGAGGCAGGGACAGAAACAGGCTTGCGCCTCCGTGCTGAGGCGCCAGCGGCACTTGGCAGGACGCGGGGCATCTGGGACTGGGCTCCCTGCAGGCAGAGAGAAAACACAAGGTCTCAGAGCGCCAGAACCAGGCTCGGGGCAGGGCCCGTGCTCGCCCCGCAGATGGTCGTCATTGTCCTGGGTGAGCCCCAGATGTGGGGGAAGAACCCTAAGGCGAAGCTCTCGGGCAGGGATGCTGAGGATTGTGTTTATGAAAAATAAGCCCATTACCAGAGCCGACGTGCAAACAAGTACCAGCTGGCTGTGGGCGTGCGCCGGTTTCACCCGGGGGCGCATGGCCGCCCTCTCGCCTCCTGGCCTGCTGCCTTGTTTTGGGGGACACCTGGCCATCTCCAGTGGCAGCCATGGCAGGGTTGCACCCCCAACTCTGAGAACTTGGCGAGTGCCTGGCTTTCTGGTCTGCCTGGGTATGGCCCCTTTGAGCAAGGTGCCCCCTGCGCTGGGCGGGGAGTGGAGCTGGCTCCCTCTGGGCTGCAGCTGAGGCAGAAAAGCTCCCCAAAGCTTTTGCGGCAGGCTGCAACCCATTCGTTCACGCCTCATCATTCATTCATTTATTGTCAATTTTTTTTTTTTTTTTTTTAAGGCAGGGTCTCACTATGCAGTTCAGGTTGTCCTTAAACTCATTATGTAACCCAGGCTGTCCTTGAACTCATAGTGATCCTCCTGCCTCAGCCTCCCCCAAGTGCTGAGATTACAAGTGTTTGCCACCATGCCCAGCCTTATCCTCATTTCTTGAAGCCCTGTTAAGTGCAAGACACCGAGCCAGGCCCAGGGATGCAGAGACACCAGGACTTCGTCATGGGGAGCTCAAAGTCTCAGACCAGGGCAGGTGGTCAGGAGAGTACACACTGACTTGGCAGTATGACAGGTGACACTGGGGCTTGGGGAGCTGAGTGGGGGCCGAGTCCTGGGGGCGCCCTGTGCAGGGCAAGAGAGGGCATAGCTGGGGTTTCGCATTTATCTTTTTTCCCATGATGCCTTGGTGCTGAAGGGTGGTTTTCTAGGGCACACATGGCTCCTGCGGACAGCAGCTGGGGC